TTTTTTTTTTTTTTTTTTTTTTTTTTTTTTTTTTTTTTTTTTTTTTTTTTTTTTCTCTCGTTTTCACATCCATATAAGCTTTTGTCTCAAAAGTCTCTTTGTTTCAGCATGACCCCCGAAAATGCATGGAACCCGGATGTGATGTTGTCGCATGCGATGCTGATTAATTGTATATACAATATTTTCAAAACAATAATAATCCAAGTATACCGATGCCCATCCGTAGCCCAAACGCTGTACACTCGCACGCTCGACAAATTGTACAGTTACAGTATTATATATTATATATATACCTCATAAACATTTGTGTGAAAAAAATATCATGTTTTTTACATGTGTATCATTATTTCGCTGCTACCTGGGTATCGCAGTGGTGCGAACGAGGAGTATATAGTTGAGAGAGTAAAATGTTCCGCGTTACGATTTCCCAGGTGATGAAGGCCGACGCCACGGGGGTGTTTTCGCAGAAGGTGTTTCTCAAGTACGACTTCGAGGTGGAGGTTGAGATCCCGTACTCCGACGTGGACGAGAACCTGAGGCCCGGAACTCCCCACGAGGCCCTCAAACTCATGGTCAAGGTGCTCGATTGAAGAGATGCCGAACGACGCGCGCGTGAGCCGTTGCAGTTGATTTATTGCTATGGGCCGTTTTCGTAACAGCTTACTTTGACAGTAAAGCCCGAGGAGTTGTTGAAACGAGGACTGTTGTATTTGTAAAAAAAAAGAAGAAGAAAAATATATTATTGTATTTGTGTGTGTGTGCACAGTTTTAAGGGCTATTTTCTTAGAGGCGCGTCTCGTACTCTACTCTCTCCATTTGATTTTGATTTGGGTTTTTCAGTGAAAGTATCGGGAAATGGTCAGACGTTCGAGTTACTCTCTGGTGGGCATTGATTTTCGTTCGCCTGCTGGATGGTTTGACAAGTCGATTGTACTCATTGGAGGATCGAAAGAAGTTTGAGAATGAAAGTCAATGTTCGTCAAGTGTGTACAATGTAATTAGTTGATTGGTTCATTAATGAAGAAAAAAAATATTACAATAGTAGTAACGTTTGGTTCGATGTTGAGGTGTAAACTAAAGAGTTTAAAACAAAAACAACAACAACAAGTGTGAAGTTATACTAGCACAAAAAAAAGTAGTGAAAATATAAATTTAAGTTCAAATTAACGTGTTAACAATAACAATAACGAAAAAGAAGAATATAAAATCAATTGTTGGAAAAAATAATGTAACTAGTGTCAACGCCGTGTATCAATCACATTATGAATGTTTAAAAAAAAAAAGTTGTGTAAATACATCGCGGGGAAAAAGCAGGTGAAAATTACTTTTTCTTTGAAGTGTAAAATCATAGGGATTAACGTTTTTCTAGAAAAGTGTTTTTTTTGAAGATACTGAACGCATACGTTGCAAAAAAGAGTAGCATTATGAACAATTTTTATTGTAAAAAAATATCAATATAAATATCTACTGCTCTTTCTTCAACATGTGTCATTCATTAAGTTAAATTTAAATCTTACAATAGAATGAAAATCAAAGTTACGATATTTTCTCTTTTCACACGTACCACTTTGAGAGACAGCAAGTGAAACTTGAATTTTATAGATAAAAATAAATCTCACGTGTATTATAAAATAAAAGGGAAATAAACTTAATTATCGATTGTTTCCAAAAAATGTACCTACGTTTCGTTTTTGTCCACAAAAACCACAAGTGGACAGATACAGTATGATAGAAAAAGACTCTCATCAACGAATTCAAAGTGTCATTGCCACGTATATATGTCGAGTTGTACTTCCAAATAAAATAGAAAATGTAATATTAAGAGACAAAATGTTGCATGTATATTTGTAATCGAATTTTAAATGAATGGGTCCACATTTATCGAGGTATTTTTGTTAACGTCGCATATAATGTGTCGTAAAGAAAGTATCAATACCTCGGGTTATTTTATAAAGATGTCCATTGAATAAAAAGTCAAGTTAATTACGTTGCCCTAATGTTGTTTTTTCAAATAAAAAAACATAGAAAAGGTCCAAGGAAATAAAGAATAAAAATGTATATTTTGATGTTTCAATGTTTAAATCTATATCATGTTTATGATCAACAAAAATGTTCAAATTTTTCATTAAAACCGTAAGAAACTGTTGGAAACATATTCGTTTCTTTACAAGTACCTAACAATTACATCTATCTGTAAAATTAGATATGCATTACTTTAACTTGATTTTATTATTATTATTTTTTTTTTAATACAAAAATTAATCGAGTTTAATTTTGTTTGAATATTTACGGTTTTCAAAATATACAGAGAATGTAATAGTTCTTAAACAACATAAATACATAGGATTTCAATTTTCATTGCATTATTTGTGCACGGAAGTGAGTCTGGAGCTTGTTGGCTTTGACTCCCAGCTTGGTGAAGTACTTCTGATGAACTCTCTGCATGTATTTAATATCCATGGCTTTTTGTTTGGCAGCCTCTATCTGCGTTCCTTTCCAGCCGAGCGCTCTGTACATGTTGAGGATATTCCTGAGTTTATCCTGACTTTTCTTGCGTATGACTACTGCCCTGCTTGGATCAGTGCTTTGTTTGAAGTAACGCATCAGAGATCGGTGACCTATGACCGAGCCTGAGGGAAGGACGAGCTGGTGCTCATTGCCGTCGATATCCGGAATTTCCATGATTTCGAGAGGGTTTTGCACATCTGGATGGTTCGTGGTGAAATCATAATAGTCGGTGTATTCCGCCAGCGCTTCTCCTTCAAATAGCATTTTTGTATGGTTTTTATCCAGCATATGACTCCTAGTAGCTTCGAGGGTGTCAAACATGTTTCCTGGAAAATTCATTTTTTTTTTTTTTTTTTTAATGGAATCAACATGAAATCATGAAAAATTAAAATTAAAGTACTAAATAATGTTACTACCTTCGCACCACAAGCACAAGTAGCCACTAGAGACCTTTTCTCCCAAATAAGTAAGCAATCCTTTGATATCCACACAGTACTCAACGTATGGTATGAAAAAAGAGTGAGCCTCTGTCATGTGCTTCAGATTCTTAGTCATGGTTCTACTGTGGTGGTTGCAGAATATGCAGTTATTACTATGCACAGGATTTTCATTCCATTCATCAGAATCTACTGTCTCCACATCAGAATCCACTTCCATGTCATCCTCAGCTTCATCTTTTTTGCAATCATTAGATTTAACAGCAGAGCTTGCACTTGGTACTTTTGAAGCATTCACCTGTAACTCATCTTCATCTTCATCATCACCGTTTGTAGACTGTTGTTCACTTAACTTTATAGCTTTCTCCTTGTGCTTTTTGGATGCTATGTGATTCTCGTACTGGCTCTTTGTACTGAAAGATTTTTTACAGAAAGAACAGGACATTTGCTGGTGATTCTCATCCATCATTTGTTCTTCTGCATTTTGTTTCATCTTCAAAAATTTTTCATGACTAACAGGTGGCAGTTCGCACTCTTTTCTTTTCAAGTTGTAGCGATGGAAATCTGTTTTGAAGTGTTGCCTTTGAACCAGTGGATCTTTAAAGGCCAACAGGCAACTGAGACAGGTGAAAGTATGTTCCGATGCACTCATTTTTACAGTTTAATGCTTGTTGCTCTATTGTCAACTGATGATTGCTGCTTTGTTGAAAGATTATTTAGAGATTACAATCACCAACCTAAAACAAAAAATACCACCACCACATGAGATTTGTAAAAAAAAATGATTGAAAAATTACTTTTACTGTTTTTGGGAGATAAGTATGACTTGTACAGTAAAGAAAGTTCAGACGTTACGACTTGTTGCGTTAGAATAACATGAATAAAATAGTTACTATGTGAAAAAAGAGAAAAATATTTACTTACAATACGTTTGTCATCTGTGTATTAATTTTCAGGACAAGTGATTCACCCCACGTGTAAGTATAAAAAAAAACTACACAAATCAAAACAATTTCATTTTTATCATGCGTTGGTAACACAATCGTTACCATCAGCAAGTAATTTTGCATTGCTTTCTACGTTACCGTCAGATCGGTAAGTCAACTCCCTTGAATTTACTGGCGCTCTGTTCCATAATCTGGCCAGTAAAAACAGCAGACAATATAAACAGCAATAAAATATATCTTCACATTATTTTTTCTCGATTTTCACTTCTGTTTTTACTGGCCAGATTACGGAACAGAGAGCGACAAGTAAATTCAAGGTGTAGTTGGCTTACCAACCTGACGGTAACGTAGAGCGCAGCCTAAAATTACTTGCTGGTAACAATTGCGGAAAACCGGGAAAACACCCAATTATTGCGCGAGCGCGATCGTGGCCGCGGCTGCGATCACAAAATTTTCCAACAACCTCATCGCCGTCGCCCGATGAAGCCCCTGAACTCTGCAACCCGTCCAAAGAACGAAACGAGCAACTTCAATGCAGTTGCGTCAGAGTTCGCAAGAGTGCTGCAGGTAAAATCGGCTCTAAGAAGAAGCAAACGAACATTTAATTACGCGTTTCATCATCCAATTTTTCCCTTTTGTTCTTTTTCCGTGGCCTTTTCGTTGGTACATACATATTTTCCCGTATACGTACACGGCACACAGTCGCACACACACCAGAGTGTGTATAAATAATCCTATATACAGCATTGTACCAGCCTACACATATTATATACATCGCAAAATTGCGACGTGTCTCGCGAAGAGAGAGAGGAATCGACTCGAAAGATCGCTCCCCCGGATTTCGCAACACCGCCATAAGGGCAGAGTTATATCGAGTAATTAGCCACAAGGACGAGCATCTCCGAGCTGCCATCCTTACCGTACCCTGGAACATTCGTCTTGGTGACGACCATCAGGTAAGAATCGCATCACGTGCATTTTCACACCAAGTGGAAACGAGGGTTCAGAATATAACCTCACTTTTGTAGACGGCGTGAAAAAAGAGAGCGCAGGAGAAAGAGGCGAAAGTATTGTAAAAAAGATATAAACGAGAAGCAATTCCAATAACCCGAACCGTCCTCTTTTCTCATTATTGCAATAAGTTTTTCTTTTGGATGCAGTACAGTATTGATCTCTCTCTCTCTCTCTCTTTCTCTCTCGTACTTTTAGTAGGTGTAGTGAGTGGTAATCGCGGGGCTGTTATCAGCGACTGCACGATTCGCATTGAATTCGTCGAAGTAGGTGCGCGAGGTAATCTTTGTAGGAAAGAATAAAACACGCCACTTTTTTCCATTGATCCTAATCGTTTTTACAAGCTTGTTTACTTGATAATTTTCTTCTGCTACAGCTATTTTATTATTTGCACTATATGTACATATACATACGTAATACGTAATTACATACACATACGTGTGTATAGCGTTGAAAAGAAAGTTTAAAGTCCGATTACGCCAGTGGGAAGGAGCGAGTAAAAAAACAAAGATAGAGTGGAGAGGGGGTACGCGACTGCCCCTCGCGTGTTACACATTCTTTTATTTACCTATTTATCTCTTGCAGCGCGTTACACTCACTGTACACGCGCTAGAGCAAAATTAATGCCGTGTGGCCCACATCACGCACAAGTATTACCTAAAAGTGTATAAGTATATATTTTTTTGTCTTATCTGCTTCAAGTTGTGAGTAAAAGTTCACGAGGACTCGTCGCTGAAGAAGAAGTAGACGAATAGCTTGGGATCGCGGCCTAGCTCAGGGCTTCGATCACGAAGACGATCCAGCTGTTCTCGCGGTGCGAGCATCCACGAGGGGGCCACGTCGGGTTTTCAAGCCAGCAAGCGGCCGTCCAGCAGGGCGCTACCATTTTATATGACTTTTCTCCGACAACGAGGTTTGTTTTTTTCTTCTTCCTCTCCTACTCGTACAATGGCCATCAGAACCAATTATGTAATTGTTGAGGGGCCCCCGATTCAATGGGATAAAATTCGATAAATGCCACAAGCACTGTAGCTCACGTTTTATCAGGATAGGTTTTGCATTATTTTATTTTTGTTAGGGAAAAAATGCCAAAAACATTTAAGTACAATTTTAATCGTACTTTTTTTTTTTTTTTTCTTCCAATACACGAAAGATAATGTAATAAAGTAAAAATAAGGGGAAAAAATTTTCTGGTATTAACAGTAAAATTCCATTGTCATGAGTTTTTCCGTGATTGTATAGCAGCAGTGGTAACAGCAAGCTGTACTCACGGCATGAAATGCAAAGCTAGGTTATTTTTATCAACCATAGTCGGCCGCACTGGTAAGTCCGCGTATTTATTTAGCTGTACAACTCTTGCTGTCATAACTGTTGACTGTATTTTCTGTAGAATAATAAGCACGTTGATATTCACAAAATGGTGGTATCACTTGATACTATAATAATCAAAGGCACATGCAACAAAACAGAAAAAATGTCATACATAGATATTAAAAATCAAACATGATATCGCACTTCCTGTTTTGTCCAGGAAAGATCTGCGATTTCATTGTCCAAGCTTTCATCCATGAATCTTATCGATCATATTGTAAAAATACCAATGAAACTTTTTTTTTAACGTAGTCATAATTTCCTACAAATAAAGCTGGACTACGTCATTATTTAATATATAGGTTTCAATGTTTAAAAATAACAAATGATTACCGTTCATGAGATAACGAACAAAAGTAAAAGTGGTAATTTTATCCTTCTGATATAATTGGTTTTATTCCTAGAATTTTCTTCAAATGTAGATAAAATAGATAAACAATTAGTTAAAATTTCATTCGAGTACAAATCGCAAGCCCATCTTTGTGACAAATTAGACGCCGCCCCACTGCCGAAAACACAGCAACCAACAATCACTCAACATTACAAAGTTGCGGGGCACTTCAGTCCAAGACGGTTTTCGTATTATACTTACTTTCGAAAGGCCGCACAGCATCCGAAATCTCCGGGTGACGAAATAATCTTGTTTACGAAACTCCCTTCTTGGTGTCCCTCTTTCTTTGCAATACGAGCACTTGGTCTATATTATACACATTCCTCATGATAAAGCGACAACAACAGCAGCACCAACGAAAGCCACACGTCTTTTTAACCTTCGTATATACACGTATATCCCATACCTATATGTATATATGTTCGATGGCGAGGGAGAACCGTGAAACCTTTCACCGCACGCTTTGTCGGAGGTGATGTACTCTTATAGTGCCCGCCGCTTTTTTTTTCTCTTCCTCCTGCAGCCTCCTACAACGCGGGTACTCGAAATTCACTTAACCCTCCTTGAACCGATGACTTTTGACCCCCTCCCTGAAAAATCCCTCGATGAAGCATACAGTTAGTTACACAAGCTCGGCCGGCTTGATGAAAAATAGGTCCACCGTGAAAATGCACGAGATGGATAAACAGTGCGTGCGTAATTCAATTGAACTCGGTAATTACCCGTTTATTTAAGCGACTTGGAAAAAAAAAAAAAAAATAATAATAATACGTTACATCCGCGACACACTTGACTCACGTGATAAAAGCGTAGCCTTAATTCATAAGCAGACGCCAACGTCCGCAGTCTCGAGCATGTGTACACACGTACTTGTACGTATACGTATATATGTATATAAATGTACCGCAGCTCCAGGCAAAGCCAAATCGACACACTCGAGCAAGTGCATGATATACTTACCTATCGTATACCCCTGATTTCGTGGCGAATGCTCTCGTAAACCTATATGCGCTACCGCAATATAATTATAGGTACGATCAAACTCACACTTGCGCTTACAATTTTATAGGGAAGACGAAATAAAGAAAACCTCCCCGTTACCAACGTGCGAAATTTAAATGGCCCGTCATCGATGCACCCACTCATGCACGTGCATTTATTTTCCTTCCTGGATAAACTCTTCCTCCCTCCGCTGCACGTGGTGAACCCTCGCGGGAATTATTCCTCATTGTTCGATTGGCACCCGCGCCTCGATTCGCTAATCTTACTAACCCCGTTTTTTTTTGTTTTCGCTCTCCCCTTCACCCTCTCGTTCACGTGTCGCGGTGTGATCTCGCTCGTGTGGCTTCTCTTATGTTTTTTTCTCCCTCCCTGCCCGACTTGGCGAACTTAATTGTCGTGAACGCCGGATTACGAAACAAGTGCTTAAGTATACCCGTTTGTGTTCGAACGATCGTTATACCGGGCAAAAGTTTCCATTTCGCCTTTCCTCGCTCGTGGCTATACTTCTTCGTATAATTTCGGGTGGTACAGTTGCTAATGAAAATAGAGTGCTTATCCGTTTCAACGCGAGAATCAATTCATCGTCCCGGCCGATCGATACTCCGTTCCGTAAAGTTGAGTGTAAAGAAGAAAAAATGCCGCAGTGTATGGCTCGCAAATGAAGAAGTATATATATGTATCTCTTGTCTTCCGCGTTGACCTTGACTCGCCGTTGGCTCCGAAAATGCGCCGACTCGCATGCTCATTGTGCGGTAGCGCTGCTCTGCGTCAATTTTGCGCAAAAGCGAAATAAGTACTTGTGATATAAGTGAAACAAAAAAAAAGGGTTACACGCTATTTGAACCGCATTGCTGCCGTCGATTTTATAAATATATTGGCTTTCCGGTTTTTCTCTCCGACGTGTTTGATAGCATTGACACCGTTGTTCGTCTATCATTGTTTTTTTTTTTTTTTTTTTTTTTTTTTTTTTTATCATCCTAAAGTTTTTTTACATTGGCTTTACTTTGGACTCGCGATAAACACTCGTTTGAACAGGTTGCTTGCCGGAGATCGGTCGAGCATTTTTTTCCGACTCGGTACAACGCGATCGGGATCGATTCCGTGATGCTGGAAAAACTGTACAAAAAAAAGATGCTTTTATTTATTTATTTTTTTCCAACGAGTTTAAGTGGAAATTTAGTTGTTAAGGGGTCGTCATTGTTAAAATCATTTTGCTGAAAATATATGTGAGCGATACCGGATTGTCATCTGAACAGTAATCAACGATCATTTATTATTGTTTTAAAACTTAAATTTGAAGCTGACCTGCAACAATTTTTTTTTTTTTTTTTTTTTTTCAAAAAATTTGTAAGAAAAAAGCAACCGAACCCCATTAAACGATACCGATTTCGCAACTCTGTACCAAAGACATGCAAAAGGTCTCGACCAGTACGCACAACAAGTTTTTATTCCTCAAAGTCTCATGTAAACGTTCAGCAGAGCTATTCGGTATACTTTGCATGCTTATTAAATTTTACAAATTTTTGTCTTTGTCACGATCCGACTATTGCATTTTTTTTTTTTTTTTTTTTCGTCCAAGTGTTTCTAGGGAAAAAAAAATTTCTTCGCGATATATAAAAGCAGAAAAAGTAAAAAAAGGCACTTTGTGGGGGGTGGCCGCGCGAATTGTTTACACCCCGCTAAGTTTGATTGATATCCTTGGGTCACGTTCTCTTGACTGGTGGGCTTGACTTGTGGGGGGTATCATGCACACCATCCACACAGTATAATCGAAAGAGGTCGAAATAATTCAAGCTTAAAACGTTTCTCCACTGCACACGGTAAATTCCAATTCGTCTTGTTAATTTATGCGCGATCAATCTACTTAACTATATACCTACTTTTCTCAACGGGTGCTGGAAAATCCCTTTTGCTAACGTATAGTATACTTTTATACTATCGATTTTTAAAATGAAATATTTAATACTACCACTTCACACTGCAGTGAAAAAAAAAAAAAAAAAATGTATAAAATAAATAACACATGGGGTGTCATTTTAATCGCCACTCGGGTTATTATCAGCTGACTGAGACTAAGGCTCAAGTATAATATTTCATCGTGTGTATACATCAGCGCGTATTGATTGCCGATTTGACGAAGACAGCCGAGAGGGTTGAAAATCCCGTCACCGTCTTTATGTACATATACACACGTGCGGGTAAAAATAAAATTTACCCTTTGGCCGATCGAATACAGGTAGTATCCGTATGGGTATACATTTACATACCTTTTCCTCCTCTTTTCCCTACCGACGTCATAATGCACATCAGCACTTTTTTTGTTGTTGTTTTTTTTCCAAGTTACGAGCGCACGGCTATTACGCGGCACGTATGTTTTCGATACAGAAAATAAATGTTTTATTTTATCGCGTCCTTAAAATACAATTTGAGCTGATAATATTCATTCAAGGCCGAAATTTTATTTGCAAACTCGTTTTACGATATCCGCATCGGCGCTCGTACATTCTATTGTACAGGTACCTATATGCTCAATTAGAATGTGCATTTCGGAAGAAATTTTACAATTGGCGACTGCTCGCGTGTGCAAATACACTCAACGTGCTAATTTTGCCAAATATACAAATTTAAATTTTTATTCCAAGGCAAATGTCCACGAAACGCGAGTATAAAAATGTATTCGTGAATTAATTTGGTTTATCGAAAAATTTATTTGTCGATTCTATTGGTCTTCGAATCGTTATTTCATTTTCTCGACATTTTTCATGGAAATGAAAAAAGAGCCACCTCAACCTCGAATTTGAATTGTTCCTTTACTTCCCGGCAAAAAATGACATTCATCATTTATATGAATGATGAATAAAAAAATCGGAATAATGTTTATCAAGTCACACGAATTGAGACCTCGTACAACGAGTAAAAAGAAAAAAAACAGCACCACAAAGGGGAGTAAAAAATGCTGAGACCGAAGATGTGCTCTTCCATGCCCCAAGGAAATCGCGCGTAAATTCCACTTTCCGGTATGTACAACAAATAAAAAATCCCCCGTCATCGCCACACCTGGCGTGGACTCTCCCGTGACCCATCAACTCCACACACACACACACACACACACACACACACGTAAAGAGCACCTGACGAAAAGGGCCTTTTCCGCGACCAACAGATAGTCGGCGCCGCCCTCAACGGGGTGATAAAAAAAGGCGAGCGGGAGGAGTGCGAGCGCCGATTGGCCGAGCTCCGGGACGAGAAGTTCAAGAGCATCTTCGGGCTCCTGTACAAAATCAACGAGCGGGTCGACCTGTTCGACAAGTACGGGGTGGACGAGCTCTTCGAGTGCCGCATACTGAGCGTCGACGAGAACTACCGGGGCAGGGGCCTCGCCAACACCCTCGTCGAGAACAGCATCACCCTTGCCCGGAATTCCGGCTTCAAGGTACACCTCGTATACCGTTGTTGCGCTCGAGCGTACAAACCTATTATATATACACAAGTTTCATTTTCTTTTTCTTTCTTTTTTTTTTTTTTTTTTTTTTTTTTTTTTTTTTTTTTTTTTTTTTTTTTTTTTTTTTNCAAGTTGACTCTCCCCGAGCGCGTGTGTATTTTTCTCCACCGCGAGAGCTTTCCTTGTATAGGTACGGTTTATTTGGAGCTTTCCATCCGTAGTATCTTTATTGTTTCCCTTTTCTTTGTTCTTTTTCTCCAGCTCCTTGGGTGCACGTTATAATGAGGTTTTCTTCATATTTATCCTCCACGCGCCAATGGCAAATATAATCAGAACGGTGCCTTCGTTGGTATATACACTCGTCGTCAAAAATGAACGTCTAAACCGGAACAATGCCAGTCTGTCGTATGACTTATTGCAAGAGGAATAAAAAAAAAAAAAAAAAAAAAGAAAAAAAAAAACAAAACAAGAAAAGGTACATAGTAGCGATGTCGTCCTCGACACCGTCGACGGGGTGCGCCAGAGGTGGTGGCGAAGGGAAGAAGCTGAGGTGCGAGCCGGCACCGATAGACCGGCACGAGGAGTTGATACGCCACTTGCGTGACAATTTTTTCGCCGACGAGCCGCTCAACAGGTCGGTTGAGCTTTGCCAGAGGGGCGAGTCCCACGTTGAGCTCGAACGGCACTGCCACCTCACCCTGGACCAGGGACTCTCCTGTGTCGTGCTCGACGAGGATGACAAGGTGCGTGTGTGTGATATAACCAGCTGGGCTGCACCTTACAAGGACTCGAATGAGTTTCCGGGCGACTTTTGCACCCAGAGTGATGCGTTTGCTTTGTCGTTTAAGCTTTCTTTATAAAATTCCCTTGACAAACGGTCGTTCAACGTCCGGGAAAGACTCTGGACTTTTTATCGGGATTCGGTATAGAGTGCGCAGCCCCTCGGTCACTTTTTTTTTTTTTTTTTTTTTTTTTTTTTTTTTTTTTTTTTTTTTTT